CTCTCTCTCTCTCTCTCTCTCTCTCTCTCTCTCTCTCTCTGTGTACGATCGTCCACGTATCGTCCACGGTCATGTGTGTGCGTGCACGCCGACATGCATCGCCGATCGTACATACAAACGTAATTTATGCGTGCGTGAATTTTAACTCCCACGCCATGAAGGCATACCACGAGATTGTTCGTGCCCACGATACCTGTCCGAACCGTAAGAATTATCCGTGTCCATTTGCGACTGGCTCCCGATACGCCCAGCCCGAATTTGGCTCAATGGAGTCGTTATCTATCGGGAACAAGGTGTTGAGAATTCGTACGATCGTGAAATTTCCCTCGTAATTTCTCAAAATCGGAATTTTTTACACCGCTGGCTTTTCTTCCCTGGTATCAGTCTCGATCTCTCTACGATGGGAGGCAATTGTTCAAATCGAATTGAAATTGAGATGTCCGCGAAATCTTATTCGTGGAAATTAAATAAACATCGACCAAAGTTTAGTTGCAGCAGGATGGATTGTTTGTGCAAACAATCGCGTAAGATAACTTGAACGATAAAGTTCATAAAATGAGAGAGGCCATCCAACCGAGTATATTTTTCACAAGAGAACTAAACTTCTTTGAAACAAGTTCAAACAAATTATTTTCGTTATTGTAACATATTTTTAATTTTGCCGCGAATCGTATGGTTGCAAGAGGAAATTGTATTATCCTTCGGTCGGAAGTTCTCCCAACCAGTTTCAATTTCTAACCGCGTCTCGCACTCTCGCGAGAGAGCACTCGAAGGAGCCCGCGTTAAATTAACACCACTCGTAAATAAAATATATGTATACGTGTACACCAATATGTATGTAAATTAGTCGTAATTTCACATTCGCGTTCGTTGTCTTTTCGAGGTTCGTCGCTCGCCGGGTGGAAAGCGAACGGGTCCCTTTCTCGGGTGGCATTATTTTCTCTTACTTAATACCAAGAGAAATAAAACGCATCCTCTTAGACTTAACTGCCGTATAATGGCCGGCAGTCGCCTAGGTAGCGGATCATTGTATCCGCGTAGCCAACACAGCAGCCAGTTCCCTTGGTCCTTGGCCGACGAAGGGAAACGGCCGAGAGGGGCACGGCATAACAAGTGAAGCGCGCGATCAAGAATAATGTGAAAACGGACAGCGCGCACGGCCAAAACGAAAAAGAGGAGAACAATGAACGATGCTAGCTACGCTCGCTCCGCGTAGACCCGGCAATTTCGTCGAATTGCAAGCGATTACCGTCGCACGGCAGCTCGAATTTTCCGTTTGTTTGAGTTACGGAGAGCTGCGCAGGAGCTGTTGCGAAACGGTTCACAGTGCTTCGAATTTCGACGAAACGGACCTAGGCCAACAACACGCCAGAAGCATCGGAGAATCGTTTTCTTTCTCTCTCGTTTGAAGAACAGTGGTAAAGCAAGTTGCACGGTTTGAACAGTTTGAACAACGAGAAGCGCAGCTGAGAAGTAGGGACAAGAAGAAATTAAGGGTAGAAAGAATAGATACGGGGAAAAAGAACTCACGCGCTTGTTAGCGGTCCGGTAATATGCCCAATGACTACCGATTAACACTCAAATGAACTACGGGAAAGACCAAACTCTCAGCCCTTTCGGAAGATGCTGGTTTACTCTTTTGCCAGTC